CCTTTTATTTTCTCTCATAATATAAATAATTACGTGAACTTCAATGAAGCAAAGTAGAATCCCCGAAGGAAAGGAGTGTTTTATTCCCTTTCCTGCACACTTGGTAGTTAGTGCATGCTAGTTAGGGCCACCTCTAGCTTCCTCTGTCTTCCCTCTTAGTGGTGGTGGTGTCTGGGCAGGTGCAATGGGCCATGTTGACAGCTTGTCCCCTCTTTCTTGCCGCAGGGGAAAACTGTCACCCTTGTCATTCAGGCCCGTGAACACAGCATGGAGAATCTGTGTGTGCGACTGTTCCTGAGAGACTGTGGCAGAGAGGGGCAGTGGGGTAGAGGGGGTTTGTTAGCTCTACCAGAAACAGCAAGGAGACTCACACACTCACTGAAGCTTAAAAGCCCTCCCTATATTATGCATTATTGTGAGGACATAACTCAGACAGTTAGTTAGCATGAAATTTGCCAATAAAAAACACCATAAGTCTGCATGTCCTAGGTGAAGTGGTTTGTATAAAGCGAGACAGCATGTATGGTGGAAGTAAACAGACATAAAAAAGTGTGTAATATATATCAGTGAGGGAATTAAAACAGCAGAATTATTGAAATTACTCAAATGAAACTAGAGATACTCATCATAAATACACATCTCAAACTTGCCCAACCATCTATTAATTTATTTTCTATTTTATAATGCTATATCATCCAAAACATGCATGGAGTTTTGTGTTGTTTCATTCACACATGTTCAGCACACACATCCTGCATATTTAGGCTTCTTAGAGTTCTTCATTTAAACAGAAAACACCATGTGACCTCATGTGGTAATACAGGAAGTGCTCCACTCTGTTTTAAAACTCCATGCACTTCACAAGTATCATTTGGATGAAATTGTCAGTCTCTTCTGAACACAAAAGTGAAAAGGTAGCTGTTAACTTGAACACTACTGCTAGGCATGAGATGGAAAAGAGCATTTTGAGCTTTGGAGATATAGACAGACTAATAATGCAGGATTAACCAAACATGTGTGAATGAAAAAAATAACTCCTGGTATATTTTAGAGGGTGTATCAGCTCACTTAAAGCTCACGAGTCAATACCATGTAATATAGGACCTTTAATCTGGGCAATCAAAACGTGAAATGTGCAGTGCTAGACAACTCTTCAAGTACCTCTAGTCAGTTAATTTATAGTTTCAACGAATCCCTTTCAGACTGTGCAAACTGGGCTCCTAAAGAAAGTAATCCGTGAGCAGAGAAACATTTGAAAGTACAATGGGAAAACAAAAGTGAGTCTGGATCACGGCTGACTGAGTTCCTGGGTGTGTACGTCCGTGTGGGGCACTGGCCTCAGACAAAGTGCTCTGCCAGCTTTCTGCCCACTGGTCTTTTCATTGTTGATGGATGGGCCGTGTTCTGCACCATCTGGCTATAGGATACTTCACATTAATCATCACAAACACACACCCCTACACACACAAACAGCCCGATAGGTAGAGCACTGTTAAATACACTGAAAGAAAAAGATGGATGTTAAGAAAAAATTAAGTGAAGAAAAGAAGAAAGAGGTAAAGCAATTAGTCCTCGTAAAACATTGTTTAGAATATTGCATGGCCAGGGGCAATAGAACAATGAAGCTCTCTCCACCCACAACCCCCACCTCTCTCAGTCTTTATTAATGACCTTTCTGTACGTATAGGAGGATGCATATTAGCAATAATGGGTGTGAATCGCCAATTTCCCCTCCTCTTTGAATCTTCTTACACACGAAAGAACACACATACATACACAATGGTAAACACATAATGTCCTTACATAAACTGAGCCAAAGGGCAGGCACCTTAAGCAAGTTAATGTAAAATGAGGGGCATTATCTGACTTCATTTATTTCTATCTACCGGCTATGTGGGGGCTTAATCCAGCTGATTTGCCTCGGCGTCGACTGGCTGTGTGTGGACATGGGCAAGGGCAGGCGGAACAGTGGTTGATCAGGGAGGAAGCGTGCTTGACATTAGATTTATTATCATTAAATCATATCTCACGGCTATCTGGCTTGGTAATGCAAAGGGATTTATTTTCACATCTACACAATCTATGGAAACAGAATGAGACCTACAGGAGAACAGCGAGCAGGCCGAGCTTCACAGCAGATGGAGCAGAGATTTCTGGAGCAATATTTAAACAGATCAGCCAAGACACTGCCTTTGTGAAATCATATCCTTTAGCTATAGTTAGGGATGCACCAAACCTCTTTTTTACATTTCCATACAGATATCATTGCTTTGGCTTCAAGCTGATATGTCTGACATCTACAAATACCAAAGCTGTTATTGAAATGAAAACAGAATTTACTTATTTCTTTACTTTAAAAAAAGCACATGACTAAACAGGTTCAAATGTGCATTACATACAAGCACAGCTCCGAGTAAAAAAAAAATTAATAAAAATTCAAACATTATGAAATGTTCTTGTCTTAGGTCAACAAAATGTCCTCTTACATCAATCAAGAGGTCCAAAAAGAATAGCAACTGAGGAAATATCCAACCCAGAATTTTTTTTCTGGATCAGAGATGATCTGATACTAGTTTTGGTATTGGTGCATCCTTAGCTATAGCACTAAACCTACATGACCTACATTATTACATTATATTTCAGCAAGTATCCAAAATCCAATTCCAAATATGATTAGATTTAAATCCCTATATTAAAGACATATATAGCTAAAATTAAGTTGAATTATGTTAACGATTCATTTTGCAAAAACTTTAATTCAATAGTCATGTTCCTGTTGAGCTCAACCCATTATCAGAGCAGAATGTGTTTGTTGCTGTGTGGGGGAGGCAGAGAGCCATGGCTGTCACACAGAAAACGTGATCCCTCTCATATCCTTTTAATTAGTGCGTAACATATAACAATTTCACTAAAGGCACAAACTCCACTTAGGGTGTAAACTCTGCAAAGATGAGCTCAAGCTTTGCTAAATTATGCTGTGTGACATTTGTGAGGAACACTCCAATCACCATCACTTGAGACTGCCACACACTACCGGAGAAGATGCCCGATTTAGGCTGCGATTTACTTCTCCCCGAGTTTGGGGAGGAGTGACCCGACTTTGTGTCTTCATGTGTGATTTTGAAGAAGTTGCACTCCTCATGTGTGGTGTCAGTGTGACTCTGAGCTGCTCTGTCAGATCGTAACCAACCAAACATCAGCAAGGCCACAGTAACAGCCAATAAAACAGAATGTCAGGGGCAGAGGAGTGACGGACACAGAGGCACAAGACTCAAGAAATAGCGAAAATAATTACTCACTCACTACTCGAAAAGTTGTAAAAGTTAAACTAGACATTAAACATAGAATTTTTCCTCCGCAAATAATGTAACCAAGTCCACAAAACAGCACTTTTAATACAGTTTGAAGTGTTCTTTAAAAGTAAAAAGGCGCGAGTAGTTCCTCGCATGTATCTGTTTGCATTCACATAGCGCATGGACCGGGGTGAAGCGATCGAGACTCTACTTCTTGTGGACTTTACTGCCACCCTTCTGTGCATTAAAATATCTGAAGTTTTGCGCCACATTTCACATTTCTAAACTAGAAGTGCAGTGCTCTGATATTTTGAAAACTTAAGAGTCTCTTTGTAAAGAGACTTTGTAGCCTGTGAAATGCAGCCATATACTGCAGCAGTTTTGTGATTGGAGATTTAAAATCGAATAAGATTCTCATCATATCTGTGATGCATGCTTTTTGTTGCGTGTTTAAAAAATGTTAAAGACCAAAAAATCATGTAGTGTGTGGCGGCCTTTAGAATGTGCAGTGTGGTAGCAGCAGCAGTGTATACATGTGTGTTAGATGGTCTTGTTTGTCACATCTACTGGCATGGAATAACAACTGCTCAAATCACTGACTTTGTTCATTGGTCACAGATCTGATTGTGTGAAGTGCAAATGAGTTAAGCCTTTTAAATACCTTCTCAGGATCAATACTTCATAGAATAAAAAACAAAGTCATTTATATAATTATAAAAAGATTGTACTTAAAGTAATGGCAAAACTGTCGCTAAGGGTTTCTGTAATTAAAATTACTAATATGATCATGTTTTAAGTATCATATTAAGCATCTCCATAATCCTGGAAGCAAAAAGTGATATATATTGAAAATATCTGAACTGCACTTTGCGAGGTATTTTGGAGTGGAGGAATATTAATCAACTTTCAAAAAGGCTAAATCAGCAACAAAGTCCAGTTGAAATGGCTTCATATTCTGAGTGAGTGTATTTTGGAAATTGGTAAATCATACAAATATGTATCCATTCACATGAGCAACCATCAGGCAGGTTATTGGATCATTGAGAAACATCAGAGGCTTCACATTATGGTTATTGCTCACTTCTGAACTACCCCAAAAGCAATGTCAAGAAAATAAAACCATACTCCATAGGGCAAACTCCATTACAGCAGAAAATGTGGTGACAGATGTTGTCAAAGAGTTGGCAGTCTCAGAAGGACATCTTTATAGAAGAAGTCACACACAGTCACCCAGTGTTGTCACAAGGGTCTCATCATCATAAGCATGCCTGAAGAGCGCCATGTTCAATCTGCTGTCAGATGTTAACCTCATAATGGATGAACCAGGCACACACAAATGCCGACGCACACACATATACACATACACACACCCACGCACATACGCGACTGAAGATTTATCTGTGACTTTAGGATTCAATCTTGGCCACACTTACTCACACGCACACACAAAATGTAATCAGGAGGCAACACTTGAGCCGTCCTCATCCACTAGATTGCTGACAAGAGGCGTCCATCTTGAGGAGATGACAAACTCATCACTCAGCCTTTAAGACAATATAGCGAGGGTGACCTACAAGTACTTGTGTGTCAATGGAAGACTTGTAGACTAAAGGTGAATGAGGCGCTGAGTTTCTCCCATTAAGAAATAGACAGTGAATGAGCGCACCTATAAATGACTAGTAGTGAAGACAGAGGAATCACACTTACCTTGTGGTCATAAGGGTTGTATGAGTGGAACAGTTGAGATAGCTCTTTTGTCCGCTGTTTTTTCTGCAAATAAAACACAATGTATCAAAAATCATGTATACACTTTAAAGGAGGAAGAGGGACTGAAATGGCAGATTATAACAATTATATGTGTTATATTATTAATAGGAAAATAGGGATTTTACCATGCTTCTTTGTGATTAACTCTGGTCCTAACCCCCAATGTCCTTAATGTGTAATGAGATGCACAAGCGGGAGACATGACTATTTGATATGTGCCACTTGTTAATGCAATCAGTTACACGAGGCCCAAGCAGTTACAAAAAGCGCTAATTAGCTCGCTGATTAGGCCATAGCTGGCTAAAGGGAAGGAGATGTGCTTCTATTGCTGAAGGGACTCTGGATTTCATACAGTAATAACCTCTTTCAAGTGTCCTAAGGCTACATTTCTACATATGCGGAAACAACTTCCAAGTTGTTCAGCTATCAGCTATCATATACAGTCATCATTATAGAATAAACAGCAGCATATGAAGGTAGCCTGAAGACAGACAGGAAGAGCTCAAGGGGAGTGCGAGTGGACGCATATGCAAAATGGTATAAATGGCTTTAAGTTTCAACTAAACTACGAGAAGACCTCAGTCATATCAGTTTTAAATTCCTAGAGTATGGAATGACAACGGCCAAAGTAATAAATGCAAGATCCTAAACAAAACACTGAAATATGGATGGACAAAGAGCTGGAACAAGAACAGCTTATGGCAGAAATGTTGTGAGGATGCTCTTGTAGTGCATGCCTGTAGTTAAGTGCCACCTTGACTTTCCTGACTTAGAAAAAAAAGTCTATTCTCTAAAAGCACTCCCACTACGGATTCCTGGCTTCCTCTCCATTCAGTGCGCCTCTATTTCGTGTTTGCATAATCTGCTACTGTTAATGTCTTATTCATCGCTTTTTCATCCTTTTTTCATTCACTCTCATAATCACTGGCCTTGTTCGTCCACAATTTCTCCATCCTTGTTTTTAACTGACTCTCAAAGGGCTCTTCACAATCTCTAAATCCTCTTTTCTCTCTTTTTTGCCTTTGCACATATCCACATATCCCTGAGTGTTGCACCTTCTCCCTGGATCCCTGTGTTTTCTTCTCGCGGGGGGAAAACTCATACTAATCATTGTGTCTCCCACCCTCCCCTTTTAGGCTGTACCTCCAGATCCCCCTCTCTCCCTTTCTCTCTCTCACACTCTGCCTAGAGCAACCTCCACTGAGCTCTCATTATGCTCCTCAACACCATCCCTTCTCCCCTCACCAACTTTTCATCATTCACCCCATCACTTGGTATTCACTCAAGTGTGTGTATGGGGAAGAGTAAGACAGATGTAACTGCAGGTAAGGATTTTTCAAACCCTGGTCTCTCCCTGCTGAATTTACTCAGTCCATCAGCTCACATAGACTCACAAAACACCACAGGCTCATTCACTGGAGCACATGCTACCTCTCTCATATGCTCCACATCGGAATGCATTTACCAGTAACTATACAGTGAGCACAGTATACAATAGAAATCAAGATAGAAACACCAGTAAGTATTTGTAGTTTATTATTAAAACAACAAACAAATAACAAAGATTCTATATTACTAATAAAGACCTTTCTAATTAGTTTATATGGTGTTATACATGAACTTTTGATCCCTATTAATTATTGCCAGTTTGGACAGATAAAAGCAAAGGGTAGGTACGAAAATGGTAAAGCTTAAAATTAAGGTTAAATATTTTGTAAAGTAAGTATTTTCAGTACTTTTGCTTTTATTGCTTTAGGACTAGTAATATCAAATTCAGCATTTACAGCTTTTGTTGTTGTCTTTTTAGTCTATGCATTACACATTGGAACCTGTTTATTTTGAAAAGATGCCAGGTCAGTTATGTTGAAAGAATGATATGCATCATCACTGTTAGTAGCATTGGAAGTCATATTTGCTTGCTTCATGGGAGAATGCATGGTTTCTGTGGATCCAAAGTTTACAATAGGACAGTGGCCATGTGTGTGTACATGGTCCATCAACCTGAGAAGTTAATCTAGCATGCTGTCGAGGTTGTGTTGGTGACAACCCAGCAATGCAAAACCATTGTGTGTGAGTGTCTGCGGACCTGTCACCGAGGTGATGATGAACGATGGTTGTTACCATGACGTCCATCTGTTGTTGCCGCTAGAGACGGATGCTGCATGTAACGGGAAGTGACATTACATGGTTGTGTACACTTGTACTCAGACTCTAAAATTGTAATATGTATTTGTTCAAAAACATACAGTACTGAATCATAAAACTATAATGTCCATTCTTCCATATCTACTTTACATAAAAGTATTTGTTTTCTTGAAGAACAATGTGTACATTTTTACCCCAAGCTGCGCATAGCCCCTGTGCACGAATTACGGTGGTATGTTTATTTGTATTTCAGAAAACAATGATTTATTCACATACATTCAGGAGCACAGGCATGTGTATGCGGTGGTCTTATGAACAGTATATGTCAGAATAGGCCTATGAGACGAGATGTGTGTTGTGGGGCAAGGTAACAGTGATGGTGCCTTCGCCTCTGGCTCCCTGCACATGTCTGTCTTTTGATAATGACAGACAGATGTCTGTGCAACAGAGCTGACACCCTGGGCTATCTGTGTGTGCTCTATGCTATATAGGCTACATTTACATATTCCCTAAAGCACAGGCGGCACCAAGTTTGTACGGGTGATGAAGGTGAGTTTTGACTTCTTCACAATATAAATCATGGCAAAGCATTTTATTTGTTTTATATGTATATTATATATTGTTATAAACAAGGTGTGGCTCGTACCATGGATGCCTATTAATGCACTTCCACATTTCTAATCATTTAAATTAGAAATAAAACAAAAACAACTATAGGTGAGGCATACCAAGTTATAGTATAGTATATATAGTATATTTCATTATCTATATTCTTTCTTATTAAAATGTATGAATAGACTTTTGCCTTTTAATTCTCATTATGTTTATTTTTCTCATCATGCTGAAGACCATTAGAGTTTGTCTGGGCTGCTGGTTAACACAACAGTACAAAGACCAGCCGCCTGATAACCTATGCAGGTGCGTTAGCGGATTATTAGCGGACCAGGACCTCATTAATCAAACTGGCTCCAGACAGAAATTTAACCATTAACTCAACCTTAATACCTGTTAGACTGCTTTTAGTCAAGTGTTATTATGTCCCCTGATATGTGTGAGAGAAAGGACCCATGCGTGGAGACAGCAAAGGGGGAATAGTATGCATGTGAGTGTGTGTGTCCAGGCGTAGATAAATGATAGTGAAGCTATGAGATAAAGCTACTAGTGGCTGGCCAGCTGTTTTGCACTGACAGCTGCTGCACTGGTGCCTCCTGGGTAATGGAGTTCTTAACCAATTACAACCTGGGGAAATTAAAAAGGCTCTCCCACTGGACAGCCATTCTCCTTTTCGATCACTTTTCCTCTGGTTGGGTCTCCTACATCTGCTCACTTTTAACTCCCTGCTACATGTTAACAGACAGGCCGTCCCACACACACATGGGCCCAGACCCTGTCCACGCAGTCTCTGCTCAGCGCCTCCATTTATCAAGGCTAAGTTCTAGTCACCTGGGGATGATTATGGAGATGCAGCTAATAGCATTCACATCCTTTTATTCTCGGCATGCGCCCCTCTGTCCTCGTCCCTGCACCCCTGTGGTCTACTTTCTCACCTCCTCTCTGCGCTCGCCCATCCATCCTCCCTGTTCACCTATTACTAAAGGTGAGCTCTGTGCATATTACCATACACCTGTGTTCTCCCATAGGCAACTGCTATGGATATATTCTTGTTTACTTTGGTAGCAGGCAGGTCTTTGTGCACATCCAAGATATAATAAAACAATATTTCATGCTATATTTCCAAAGGCAAACATACAATGTATCCTTGCTATAATAAACTGTATAAAAGGCATGATCTTTGGCATACATATGCTGTCTCTCATTTATCATTTAATAACTAATCCATGTACACTGGAAAAATGTAGGGGAAAACTACATTTTCAAAGCTATTAAAGCTAACAAGTAAGAAAATGCATTTGCGCTGACCGTATGCGGTGTCTAGTTTACAGCTGATAAATCTTTACTGTAACTCATAGAAACCCAAACAGAGTGCCGCCCCCTGGCCTCTGAACATTACTTTACATCTCACTCTAGTCTCTCTATCCATCTCTGTTCCCCTTTAGCTTTGTGCCTCGTGTACATCGTCTTCTTCCTCTGTGTGTCTGTGCTTCCTGCTCCATCCATCCCTCCTGTGGTTATTCAACACACTTGTGCTCCAGACAAACCATCTGCTGCTCTTTATTAATGACTGACCCTATGCGGCCTGTACGACGTGGAGCTGCCACCATTCTCCGTGCACATGGGCCTGGATGTTTGGTGTGTGTGCGTGTGTGTGTGTGTGAACAGGTGCACGCTGACTGATGACGGGACATGGACTGCAGCTTTATCTACCAATGCAGGTGTACAGCCAGAACAAAGCTAGCAATGACTTTGAATTGTGGAAAGTCGCTTTAGTCGCATTTGTCAATGTTCTTTATATGTTTAACCATGCATACACAACTGTAATAATCAGTCATGTAAGTTGTTTACTTTCTGCCTCACTCACACTATTTTAGAGGTAAGCTATTTGTGCTGCACTATAGGGGTTTAGGCTACCAGCATACATCAGCTCTATGCTGGTACCAATGTTTTGAGATCAGTTTCTGGCTCTGAATTATTTGCCAAATGCCTCTCCCCACTCTTCACCCTTGTGTGATGTGTCTGTCTAGTAGAGCATGTACAAGTCAAGCTATTACTACAAAAGTTATTCAGTCTTCTGCACATTACCGTAAGATATGTAGAGCGGGGTTACAGTGGCCTGTACCTGAAATTATCAGGACTAATTTCCCCTGCGGATCAATAAAGTTTGTCAAACTAGTGGGAGGGACAGAAGACTGGAGTCCCACAGCAAGCACGCAGATACATTCAGAGAAGAGCAAAGGATTGAACCCATAACCTTCTAGCTGAGAGACATGACAAGTTACTACTCTACACCATGCTCCCAACTGAGTTCATATCCATAAAAAACAACAAAACTCTTCCAAAATCTGAAGTGAAGTGCTGATATAGCCAAAAACATTGAAAATCTGCTCTGTGCCACCATCTGACAATCAAAGAGCTATCACTGCAATAAAGGCTGGATGCATGCTGACATACAAGCGCTGACAATAAAGTCAGAAGAGGCAGATGGAGCAGGAAGAACAGGAAGACAGAAAAGATAGGGGGAGAGAGAAGCAGCGCTGTGGTCTGTCTAGGGATTGATCCCTCGAAGACACTGTGAGCGGCTCCACAGAGTATGAAGAAAGGAAGGAGGGACGAGGGAGAAAGAGAATGACTTATGAAGACACTCCACTTGAAAGAGATGTGTCAACACTTTGATGGTAAAGAGGAATGGAGAGCAAATGCCAAAAGAGACAGAAAATATAGCATACGGTACAGCACCGGAGGTCACGCTCAAGAATATGATCAAAGATTATAGAGTACATGAAGGAAGCCTGCCTTATGTTGAAGATTAAACAGGGCTACAACAACAATATGCTGTGTGCTTTATAATAAAACCAGTGAGAGCAAATGAGAGCAACTAAAATAGTATTAAGATCTATGTGGGAATAGGCACATTATTGAAATGTTATGCCACAATTAGCATGGTCAAAACACCAATATGTGTCATGTATTTAAGTCAAAAAGAGATTACCAATTCTGTGTTATTCTGTATACCATTAGAAAACTGTGTTTTGTTATAAGTGGAAACAACAATAACCTAGAAGAGAACATCGTCTTTAAGTAGCTTTTTTAGCACACTCTGTTGGTATAATGGCCGATAATACAAAATGTACCACAAACAATAACTGTCTTCCTTTTTAGTGGAAATTAGCGATATTGCTGTTTATTGTCCCATCTATGACAGAGAAGAAGCGGAGGTATGGTCCAACTGATGTGTTCAAGGCTTTCTAGCCATCTCTGCCTGAACGTTGACGCAGCTTTACAACAATTACAGCTTCATTATAGTGTCTAATTGTTTCACTTGGCAATGAACGAGACAGAGAGGCAATGGCAGAGTATCAATCAGGGCGACTGCAGATGGGGAACACAGCGAGACATAAACTAGAGAGATGAGTGTTGATTACTCTCCAGATCTACACTGCAATGAAGCTCTGTGCTCAGATCAGGGACAACACACAATTTCAATTCAAACTGTTGAAAATGTTCAGTTTGGAGCTGGCAGATTTAGTTCAAAGGAGTGTCATTTATTCATCATTATTATTTAGTGTGTATATATATATATATATATATATATATATATATATATATATATATATATATATATATATATATATATAATTTTTTTTTAAACAAATATACAAATTTGGGCTAAAATCTGGGTGATGTGGAATTTTGAAATAAAAATCCCCACAAACAACTCTTTTAAAATATCAGAGAAAATAAATGATATAGGCCGATATGGCTTTTTTTCAGCCAATGCGGTAATCCAATATCTCTCATGCTGTTGTGGCCCTGACAAGGACTAAAGAATTGAAATAAACTTGGAGTTACACCTACAAATTTTCTTTTAAATTTTGTGAAAAATCTAACAAAATGTGTTTTTGCTGCTATAATCTGGCGTAGTTCTTATGATTGTGTAAAAATAAAGTCACCTCTGTAGCTTTATTGCTCTTCTATTAAACTTGTGGAACATGAATTATATTATTATACTAATAAAAATACATAAAACATCCCTCTATGTCACCAGTACCAATATTAGCCCCTATACATCACCCATTCCTAAAAAATCCTTACAAGTATACAGTTTGCTTGAGCATAGGTTTCAAGGATTGCATAATTCATGGCTCATGACTTCTTTTGGATATATTCAGTGACATCTTCCCCACTAAACTAATGACCTGCTGTTTGAAGTATCTGTACTGGAAGCATATTTAGTGTAATGGGGGCAACTTTCTCATATATACACATGTAAAATTATGGAAATACTAAACCAACACACAACCATTTGGCATTCATCACCAAAATGAAATCGCATCAGTCACCAAACTGTACTTATTTTAAACCCAATGATACTATGAGTAAATCACAAATAGAAAAGAAAACATTAGCAATATGTATACTGAGTAATATGTACTGTACTGTACACATATACAACACACATATCTTTAACAGTGTAATGTTTGATGAATGTAGATATAGTTTGATGTGAAATTGATTTCAAATAAATTTATAATATAATAGTATTATTTTATTAGTAGTTAGATGAATAGTTCAATTCTAACAGTGCTCTTTTTTTTTTCATTCTGTAAATTCATGGATAGATTTCTTGATCACCATTGGAGATGATGTCCACCCAACTGGTGTCTCTCAAGATCCAGGACTCCTCAAACCCTGAGGAAAGAAGTCTGATCCAGGACCTTCCACCCCTGGAGGACAGTGCTCTGGTCAGGGCACTCCGTGAAGATTTGGAACATTGCAGATCAAGTCCAAATAAGCAATTCTTTGGACTGCAAGCTTAAGAATCAGAAGATGATTGGTAAAAAAGGACTTGGACTTGAAAAAACTCACTGATGCTCTTCAGAAGGAAAACAAGCAACTATAAGATCAAGTCAATGCACATAAGGAGATCCGGTACCTGTATAATTCTACAGTACAGGAAAACTTGCACCTAAAACAAGAGTTTGCCAACTCCAAAAAAGTAATGGAAAAGACAAAAAAAACTAAAATAATTTGGAGTTGAAAAAGCTCGTGTTAGTGCGTACAAGGAGATATGATATTTCTATAACAGTACAGTGAGAGACAATGTTCAACTCAAAGAAGACGTAGCCAACACCATGAGAAGATGAAAGAAAAACTTACAGCACCTGTAATGGACACTCAAACCACTTATATTGATGTTGGAGATCTAAAAAACAAAGAAAATGAGAAACCGTGCAGGAGCTGTCCTCTAAACTCTTCTCAGCACGAGAGAAGCTGCATCTTCTGAAGTTTTTGTTTTGAAAACAAGGGAGGGTCAAAGGGTACGGCAATCTACCCGCCCAAAAAGAGAAACCATAGTAGAGGAGCAGAGGACCCCAGGCATCAACAGCACTAAAGCAACCACACACTTTTACACTTCTATTAAAATTTTAACCATGGTTATGGTTTTAAATGTGTGCATTGACCTTTCACTCAGTACCTATTCATGTTTTTTCACATCGTTTAATTCATATGGCAGTCACATAGCATACTGCAAACACTTTATTTTTATGCAGAAATGGGTAAAGTGGACGTACTGAAAATAATATAATACATGATAAAAATAAATCAAAAGATCAAAATGGCAAAATGAATGTTCAGGTTTTTCCCCTCAAAACTATGATTAATGCCTGTTGGAATGAAATATAATGCTTACTTTTAGACTAATGTATAGTGAAGAAGACAGTAGGGAGCAGTCCTTACCACATGTGCAGGCACTTGCTCCATTTTAGCGGCAGGTGTCCCAGGTCGAGGGTAGAACTGGTTGATGAAGAGGCTGGGGAACTTGTAGTGCTTCACCAGCTCCATAGTTTCCTGAAAGTCCTCCTCAGTCTCTCCGGGGAAACCGCAGATGATATCAGTGGCAATGGTTACACCTGGAACTCTGTGGAGGGAGACAAACTGTATTAGAAACATTTTTCATATCACATGCTCAATAGGGCAAACCCAGAGGCAATAAGACAAATAGATCAACACACCCTCTGTCTCCGTTGATTAGTTCATCATGATCATTAAATTATGATTGATACACATTCTTCAATTGGGGCAGCCATCTTTGAAGACATCCAAAGTAAACAAATAAAACAGGAAGAAGTTTCCCTAAGGACTTGTTTCAATCAAAACCTGATTAGCAACCTCTACTGCCAATCATTAGCTAGTGATTATTGAGCAGCGCGCTCATAGGATTATTCTAAATCAATAGAGAATAGGAAAAGATGCATTGATCAGTTGTGTGTGTGTATATATTGTTTGTATTGACAGGGGCAGGATGAGAATAGCAGGTCTAAGTCATTGTTTTCTGTACATGCTGCAGCTGTCTGTCAGGATGTGTAAGGGCATACTTCATCATAAATGTCTTGTAGAGATGATTCTAGGTTTGTTTGTGTAAGTATCAAAGATAAAATCCTTCTCAATATAAGCAGGCTTTGGTAGAAATCTGCCTATGAATGCTTAAGATGCACTGGATAAAAGCTCTGTATAAGAGTCCTGTAATAGCCTTTTAATGTAAAGGCATGTGTAAGGGGGATTGCATGAGAAGCTGGAATTTACTTAACAGACAACTGGATTTTCTACAACATCACACAGAGAAAACTAAATTGAGAATTACAGATAAACAGTACCTGCACACAGTCAGGAGACAGCTGTGGCATGTACAGTAAAATGGCGGAAATACAAGCAAACAGAATACAAAGAAACAGCTTGACAAAGACGTTTTCTGTGCAATCACCATCATGATGCATCTGTAATTACATTAACTCACTGCATCTGCAACCCTGCGATAACCTCTGACCTATTGATAACTTCCAATTGGCGGCTGGTCATTAATATTAATCAATGGCCTGCGGGCAACGGCATCCTTGACCTCTTAGATCTGCCGGACAACTATCCTATGGACAAAAAGTACAACTCAATGAACTAAAAATCCAAAAGTCTCCAAATCAGACCCAAGTGAGTAATTATACATGTAGAGTCCTCACCCGAGTCAAACCTCTAAGACCCCTACTGTACACTGGCTATTTAAATAAACTTTAACTTAACTTATGTCATGAACCATTGATTACTGCAACAATAAATGTTCTTTAAATAATTTATCAAGTCAAGCAACATAAAAAGGTTACACATTTATACACAAATCCAAACATTTACAATGGTGTAATGATAATGATAAAATAGAGGTACAAGCAAAAAGACAAGCCCGGCTGAAGATGAGGTTGTTTTTGGGGAGCGGGTAAATGAAAAGTCAGTCTGAGATGGTTTGGACATGTACTGAACAGAACAGTGAATATATCCGGAAATGTAGCTGAGATTAGAGCAGCAGGAGGTTTACAACCATAGAAAAGATGTACAGATGTAGTAGGGAGGGCATAAGGGAGAAGAGCAAACAGAAGAAGATGACTTGTAGCAATGTCTAAATGAAAAATATAACATCTGATGAACTGAAATTGTGAATGATCAAATGATTGGTGGCTGGTGGATGGTTTTAGAAGGGAGAAACTGACATAACTAAACAAGTGTTATAAATTTAACAAGTGCTTTCAAATTTCCAACTATGTAAATATAGGTTCGGCTCAGTACTAAATACCCATTTCAATACCACAATGTTGATAAAAAAAAACACTTACAATAATTTTGATCCATTTTATGTATCCTTGCAGTAGGGATACTTGGTCCAATTTGATCTGATACCAGTGTCAGTGATTTTGTGTCAGTATCTAGGTAAATATTTTGGTTTTACAACCATAATTGTGACAGTTAAAATTTGGGATGTGCAAAAATATCTAAATATCGAAATGTTATATTGTTTACTGTGATGATACAGTATTGATAGCGTGGGCTGCTGTATCGATATATCGCCAAGAGTATTTTTTGTTATATTTTGCTACATTATTTTGTTACAGCACTAGAGTTTTGTTGCTTGTTTAGGGAAAGGAAACTCATTTATGTGACACATTTGACATTTTCACTGTTTTGATGATTAAAATATTTATGATTTATATGAACTTTGCACGAGAAGTGGTTTAACAAAGACTTTTAGCATCACAACCATGATTTAGCCTTTATTTATTATTGAACCGTATTGAATCGATTTGAAATATATTATATCAAATCAAAAGTGCTCTGTATCAAGATATGTATCATTTCATGGCCTATGGATCGAGGTATGAATTATATCAGCAACTTCTTAATGATACCCAGCCCTAGTTAAAATGTAATTACCATAAATGTTAAGATCACATCATCGTGTAAAAAAGATGGGTTATCAGTTTTACTATATAAATCTACAGTAGTTGCTAAATCTGTAAAGTACATTTCATTTTGCTACGGAAAATGTACACCATTATCGGAAAATGTCCAATTGAGTCTAGGGCAAAGTAGCAGAGACAGACTAGAGAGAAGGAGCATGGACAGAGAGTGGTGTGAATTGGCTTTGGTGGATTTTCATAAGAAGCGGAGGCTGAGAGGAGAGGAAAAGAAATAAATAAAAGCCACAGTGGAGGCACTGACACATGCACACGCAGTCATTTTGACACCTCTGTCTCTTGCAGATCTAAGGGTGATGGAGGTGTGATGTGTGATACTAATGAACAAGAAGCACACTGATACTCGCCTTGTTAAAACCAGACAGCAGCAATGTGCCTTGTTATAGCTCACCTTTCAAAAACAGAGTGTGAGAAGCACAGCTGCAAGAGAGGGGCCCAGAGCACGAGCAGAAAGACAGCCAAGACAAAAGATTGGGCTTCTGTGCTGCTTTCAATTACACTTCAGCAAGATGTTTTAAACTGAGACAAGGAAATGGGAAACTTATTTCAAAGTAAAAAATAGTTAATAAATTTGTCAGAAAATGGAAAGCTTTTATTTTTATTCAGACATATACTGTACTGCAAAGGAAATAAACAAAACTAACATTGCCTTTTCTAGTTAGAAACCGTGTGGGAAGTCTTATTTGGTTTGTGTGTGAAATAGAGATAAAGCAGCAAAACAGAAAAGGATTTATCACTAGAGACATTATCTGCCACGTCAGGCCACTGAAGGAGTTAACAACGATTACTATTGATTACGCAATGATATCAGTGAGAATACTTTGAAAGCGGGAAAACATACTATTGTACTACAATACAATAGTATATTTTCAATACTATACAACACAATAAGTAAAACCGCTTTTCCACATTTAGACAGCTCTAAAACCATAATATTAAAATATAAAATGTGTCTTGATTTCCAGTGAAGAACAGAATGCCCCTTGTTTAACATTCCTCTGGGTTAAAAGGCTTTGGTGGCTTGATATCTGTAAAAATTATGTGATGCTGTCATAGAAAATTGTCTTTGTGTTGACTAATTCTTTCACACAAAGTTATCTGTGTGTGTGGAGGCACCTTCAAATCTATTTGAAACAAATGATTTAAAGGCGTCTGTGCTGCCTTGACAATAGTGGTATCATCATTACCATCAGTAAATAAAAGTGTGTGCGCTTTCATTTCACTTGTGCCGCTCAGAGACTGATAGTCTCATCTCTGTGATAGTGGCCTCCATTAGCCATAATGTGCCACTGGTCTGCTGGCATTTACACAAGAAAATGTGTTCAGAGGAGACTAAAGTCTGTTAATTAAAAGTCCAGATAAGCACACATCTAGTCCCAGTCTGCCTCAGCAGGCTGAAGCCTCTTCAGAAAACAGTCCATTGTCTTGTGGACAATTCTTATCAACCATTTCTTTGTCAAGGCCTGAGCTCAGTCCAACTACTGCTGGTATGAGTGAATGAGGTTTCTTCCAAACAAAACTATCCTCTTAATCATATATTCTAAATATATTCATGTGTATGCAAGCGTGTTTGCACAACAGATGCCTGTGAGCGCCTCCCGTGATAAGATGAAGGCAAGACCACTGGGATAGAAGAGCCCTGAAAATGACAGCCATGAGTGTAAAGAGGTAGGCGATGGGTGGAGGAATGGAAGGATGAGGGGAGAAGAAAGACAATCTGGGAAGGTAAATATTTACCTATTCATCTGTCAGAAAGAGCCAATGCCGCCCATCTGTGCTGCACTGTGTGCTGCACTGTGTGCTGTGTGTGTGCTCTGTGAAATGATAATGTGTGGCACACTGGGGCCACGGCAGCGTAGGAGTCAGTGGAGACAGAGCAACCAAAGAGTTTTAGGAGAAAGATAGAGATGGTAAAAACTGTGCTTTGGGGAGACTTGTTGTCAAAACGAGTGCTGCTAACTTAGAAAACTACGCTTGTGTATAAAAATACAACATGTGCTATGAGGGTTCTAATGTGAATGTGAGTGTGAAAAAGGGGGAGTTAAGAGCAGCTGGGACCACTTTGAAGATTAGTAACCCATATTATATAGTGTGAAAATTATGTTCAAGTCAGTATATTACACAAAAACATATACTGCATTATACATTAGACAAGGAAAGCACAGAGCTAACGCTGAGCGTACCAAGTGAAAATTACCACTGTACTTTATCATTTGTTTGTCAAAGTGTTGAAGTCATTTTAATTTGCATGTGGCATAGATCTCGTGGAAAATGAACTTCAAAATCATGTGAATATGATGAAAACATCAAGCGTTTAGCTCATCAGCTCCGGCACCCCACGCTTCCAACGGGGCAGTTTGAAGGGCCATCTGCATGTTTATTTAGAAGGTTTACACAAGATTAAACCTGCTTTGAAGATATGATCAAAACCTCAGGAGTGCATACACACATCACATATATCACATGTCATAAGCCCTGCCGATATCACGACTGCTGCCTCAAATACATTTCAAGCTAAATTGACAGTGAAGTAGATTAAACATTTGGCGGCATATCCAGGTCAGTCATTTGTCGTCTCACTTAACTGTTGTTTTCAATCTAATTTGTTTAACGCTGCTTTTGA